GGAAGAGGGGGGAGGGAGGGGAGGGGAAGGGGAGGGTGAGGGGGAGAAGCGGGGGGGAGTGGAGAGAGGGAGAGGAGAGGGAGAGGGAGAGAGGAGAGGGAGAGGGAGAGGGAGAGGAAGGGAGGAGGAGGGAGAGGGAGGGAGGAGGGAGGGAGGAGGGAGGGAGGGAGGGAGAGGAGAGAGGGAGGGAGGGAGGAGAGAGAGGAGAGAGAGAGAGAGAGAGAGAGAGAGGAGAGAGAGAGAGAGAGAGGAGGGAGGAGGGAGGGGAGGGGGGAGGGAGAGAGAGAGAGAGAGAGAGAGAGAGAGAAGAGAGAGAGAGAGAGAGAGAGAGAGAGAGAGAGAGAGAGAGAGAGAGAGAGAGAGAGAGAGAGAGAGAGAGAGAAAGAGAGAGAGAGAGACAAAAACAGGGAAGTTAAATTGAAAATGAGAGGAAGAGTGTGAGGTGCATGTTATTGTACTTGTACTTGTACTTCTGTGAGTCTGTGTGTGAGTGTGAGTGAGTGTGTATGTCAGTGTGTGTGTGTGCGTGTGCCTGTGTGTGCACAGTCTGAAAGGTCAATTAAAAAAATAAGTATTGTAATACAGTTAGCTATAAGTAATGCCTGGCTGAATTGCCAGACAAATCTAAGGGTATATTAAGTATATGAAACAGATATTAGTAATAAAAGTAATGTGATTGTATCATCTTAACAGTTTGCAGACATTAAAAAATATGAAAATTTAATATATGTCAATAGGAAATTTGGAAATTATTACAATGAATAAAGCTTAGCAGTGATTTGCACATGTGATGAAAGAATACTTAAAAAATGCTGTGGGTCAAAATAGTTTTAAAAAATATATATCTGCTTTTTACATAACCTCTCATATGATTCATTAAGATCTGTCATTAGAAATAGGTCTTTAAAGGCAACTGCACAACCCTCGATCAAAACTCTGCCAAACTAGCTTCACTAAAACATCAAGTTCTAGTGATGCATAGCAACACACAAAGGCACATACTATCACAAATACAATGTACAAAACTGAACACATATCATGACTATCTATACACTCTGCTAAGGTACACCTTATCATTTTCCTTATTGCTCTAAATATCTTCTCAGACAAAACAAAACCAGATATCCTTCTTCCTGAAGAAATGTTTGTATATATCAGATTTTCTTTTTAGAATATGGAAAATGAGATTCTTTATAAAATACTAACTTGATAACTTTGCAAATGGACTCTGGACTATAAACTTCAGAACATTTATCAGGAAGAGGGCTTATAAGCTGACAAAGCAGGAGCACTTCACAAGAACAGGTTGAAGAACAAATATTTTCAATAATTCCACTCAATTTCTATGTTACATATAAGAGATATGATATTGCACAAAATCAATATTGTAAAATGACCTTTAATCTGAAATATTGTTTTCTTAATGTCATAACTTTTAAGGAAAAATGTTAAGTCTTATATCTATCAACTCGAGGAGAAAATTCTGGCATGAATTTATCTTGCTGAAGATTGGTCTTTTTTATGTCGTAATTTTCTTTACCACTTACTACATAATCATTTGCAGTCACTACTAATATTATATTAATTTATTTGCTTCTCCCTACAAAACTTACATACCATAAATAACCTATAAATAATGCATGTGCTTGCATCTTACTGATGAAGCTATGCTTTCATGTTGTAACATGAAATATGTTAAAACACATACTGATAAGGGAAGCTTTCTACTTGATAGTTGTCCTAAGGCAACTCATAGTTATAAACTAAAAATGCAAAATCCAAGAATGCAACTTAGTATGGTCTAGGAGTTATAAATTTAGCAAACTTAAAGAACACACTTGTTGAATCTGTAATAAATTTCTTGGACAAATTGCTAGACTGGCCACTAATAAACAGAGATAGATGGATTTCATTATTTACTTCACGTTTTTGTAAAAGCATTTCTCAAGTTTCATGATGAAAATGCACTGTATTCATCCTATGCATTATTCTACCTTTGTACAAAAGAAATACTTCATACTAAAATTAGCCTGAAAAATGTCTTTGGAACCTGAGCCATTTCCATGAAAAACTCATTTGTCTTTTTCAATATTTTAACATCTAGAGATGTTTTATGGCAACTCGTGATTGCAAATAGACTGTACTTCCAAAATGACTTTTCAGTAAAAATTCTGCCCTGATTTGCAACAAATACTACATGAACACTTACACAAATGAATGAACTCAACTCAACAAATATTTCATTACCACGAGAAAATATGGATGGTTAAAAAAAATAATAACCCTAAGTGATTATTGATAAGAAAAAAGTGTGATTGTTATAAAAACATATACCATTTGAGCTACTAAGTATGAAACAGCACATAGATACTTTACATTTCTCTCAATAAAATTACATAAATACCTACCTTAATACTTTATAAGCAGATTTTAATCCAATTTTCCTTTTTCCTGAATCATTTTTAGAACCTTCTTAATGTAATAACTCTACAGATCATGCAGCTCTACACCATTTTTCCTCTTTTCAACTTGGTTATAGTGAAGGCTAAGCACCATTGCAACTTTACCTTCCTGCACTGTGATATGTTGTCTTTTTTTGAATTGCATGAAAAATATATAATAGCTACAAATGCATGATGTTCTTTCATACACTTGTTCAGAGCTTGGTGCAGTTACTGCTTGAAACAGCTGACTGATCTAATAACAAGAGGACAGTAATTGCATCATGGACAGAATGGAAGATTTGTTCCGTAGCAATTGTCTTCAGGGTGCCACATTTCTCTAAGCTCTCCAATACACTTTCTGTAAAGCAAACATCCAGACTGTAATATGACCGAAGTTATTTTCATGAAATAAGAAAACAGACTAATATCATGAGAAAGATGTATTATTCCAATTGTTTCAAACAAACGAAAACAGGTGGCTATACTTTTCTTACCTGACACTGAAGCAAGAATAAGTGTAATGCCAGCTTCATTATATTCTTTCCGGAGCTGTGCAATGAGTTTCCCACCAGTGGAATCCAAATAGATAATCTTACTCATATCAAGAACTAACCATTTAATTTCCTGAAATGTAAACATCAAAAGCAATTGCAGTTTATTCTGAAATCTTCTTGACAGGCAAAATACTTTTTTTATAAAGCACATGAAAATAAAAATGTATCATTGGAATTTCCCAGTTTGCAACACAATGGAAAACCACAAATAAATAACAATAATACTTACAGGCAATGCAAGTGCCACATGCTTATTCTTCTTGTTGCTGAACCTCCCCTTAATGAACCTTGCAGCTCCATTTAGTTGCTTCTCACTGATGCTGTCCTTCGGTTTCTCCTCAGAGGTCTCAGGGATCTTCTCTGCACTCTCATGCACCCCATTCTCCTATTCAAATAAAAAGCAATATTAAGAAGATTAAACTTAATAAAGAACTTTGAAAATTTACTCTAAAAATATCTTTAAAATTTTAAATAACATATAAACCATATCCTATCATCTCAGGTCTAATGAAATGGTTCCTGGCTGAATTTCAGACAAGAAAAGGTGTCTAAAATTTGTTTCAAACTTTGTCAGACATGGCTTAACAGAAAATAAAATTCTGATTTACTGCTGGCATAACATCCTCAAGAGGTTAAAAATCAAGTTAGAATCACTGCATTACCTTGACAGTAAGGTTGGATTTAGACTGTTTCTTCTCTAGAGCCTTCTTTGTACTAACAATTACATTAGGGTCTAGGCCAGTCATGGAGAAAATCTGAGTCCGGAAGTATTCACTGTTTGCAAAGTGGAGTGGTCCACTAAATTGGAATATGCAAACTGAAGGTATTTCCACAGCCTGTAGTACGCAAAAGAGAAATAAATAGTAAGAAATATATTAGAAACTAGATCAATTTAATGTTAACTTTATAGAATAATCATATGAAACTGAAAAATTTAACAGAAAAATATCCAGGAATTCATGTAAGTCATTACTTAAAACTACCATCTGTTTAGAACCAAAACCAAACATGTAAAGAAATTTATGAACTTACTGAGGAGTACTTCTTAATATCCAAATAAATGTCTGTGTTGGGGATGGAACCAAGAATGGCTGTGCTAGGTTTTTGGCCTCTAAAAAGAAGAACTACCAGTGACATCAGGACCCCAATCATCAGGCCATAATCTATGTCAATAATAACAACACCAAGGAAGGCCGCAATCCATATTGATGCATCAGCACGTGAGATGGCCCACACCTTCCTCAGGTCATTCACTTGCAGGAACATACCCTTCAGTGCCACAACAATGATCGATGACAGAACACACTAGATAGGAAGATGAAAATAAGTTGAATTAATATCCTAATAAAAGAGTAGAAATATACATATTCATGACATAAACAGATATAAGACCTTTATATCTGAAAAAAAAACTTACATTTGGAAGCTTTTCAAACACTGGCCCCACAAACAGTAGGACAAGCAATAGAAGAGAACATGAGATGAGTGACGTGATTTGAGTGACACCCCCAACTGCTTCCTGAATTAGTGACCGAGACAGAGAAGCAGCAATGGGAGCACATCCAAAGAAGGATCCAAATACATTACTTGCAGACTGTTGATAAAGAAAGTTTATTATTGCTCTGATTCCTTTAAAAAATTACAAATGTCAAGTAGCTTTACTTTACACTGATTTCTATATATTTCAGCTGATTTCTACTGCATTCTTTTTCTAACTTAATGTAAAAAAAAAATCCTACAGTTCAATAAATTTGAACATCTGAATAAAAACAACTCAAAATCATTGTCTACTGAAATAAATAAAAGGCAACTTTTATGATAAGTTTTCACCTGCCCATCTCAGTATAAAACACAATAGTTT